AGTTGTGAGCGCCCGTCGTCATCCTGTCGGATCGGCCCCGCCTTGAGCTTTTGGCCTCGCTTCCTTTTGAAGACCCCCAGGCTCTTTAGGACTTTCCTGGACTTTTCAGGATTTGGGTTTCTTAGACTGGCGTGTGGCACCGCTGTCAAGTCAGTACGCATATCCATAAGTGTGTAACCTTTGGAGTCACAAGGTTCCTGTTGGAATGTATTTCCCAGCAGATTGAAATAGTTTGCAGGGAGAGACGGCGCCAGATTGCAGACCTGTCTAACAAACCTGGTGGGATATCCAGCTTGGCCAGCTGGACGTACCTGGAAAAAATTTGGCTCCGTAAAGGGCTAGTGCGCGGCAGACAAGAACGTACGTCGTCATCCTGTCGTTTCGTCGCACCGTGGAGTTTGATTTCTGGCCTTTAACTACAGGAACTGAGACCCCCCCTCTGGTCTTTTCAGGATTTGGGAACCCAGCCAGGTTGGTGTGTGTGGCAAACCGCAACCAAATCAGTACGCAAAATCTCAAGTGTGTGCTTTGTAGGTGCTCAGAAGTTGGGGCGTTACTCCACGTTTACACCGACTCGTCCGCAGCACTTGGAACATGCAACCGCCTTGGACTCGGAAAATCGATCAGACTCGGATTCAAGAGAAATTGGCAGAAGGAGTATTCGAACTGTTAAGATCGACGCGAAATTGAACACAGCTGACATTTGTACAAAAGCACTGGCCAGTGAAGCTGTAGAACGCCATTTGAAGGCGATGGGTTTTGAAGCACTTTCAGGACGATCTTCGATAGCGAAAGCTGTCACATGATTGTGGTGTGCAGAGTAGTCTCAAAGTGGACACAAGCTCGAATCACCTCGTGTCCAGGGGGGGGATTTGGGACATTTTTGGCTCAAGATAAATAGGAGCGTTACTGCTTTCTGATCACCCATGCGGAACCGAAAGGGTTACAGGTTACGATGACACATGCAAGAAAGGTAGTTCCCCCGGCGAAGGTAGATAGATAGATCGATGGATGGATGGATGGACGGATGGATAGATAGATAGACCGATAGATAGAGAGATAGACAGACTTCATTGTACATATCGAAAGATGAACTGTATTAGGTTAAAGGCAAGCGGGCTAGATTTTGAAGTGCCAGTTCGACAAACTTGAACGCCAACACGAATTCTTGAGCACTTCATCTAAAACCAATAGCTATATCCTGGAGTGCGTCTCACACTTACACCAGAATCTGTCCACAGATCTGCCTCAGGAATTCCTTGCCGTTGCTTCGTTGGCGTGCCCAGCGGGGCGAGGCTTTTGGGTCGCGCGTGCTGACCAGTTTGGTGCCCTCGAGCGTGGGCTTCGCGCCAGATGCCGACTGGGTTGAGGCAGTGTTGTGGATCAGCCCCAAGGGAGCGCGCACAGGACCGGAAACAGCTAGGTCAATTTGTTTGTGGCAGGGAGACCGGATGAAACCAAGAGGTTCGTTTTTGACGCGCACCAATTTGCTCGCACTGGATTTATTGGAACTTCAATTGGTTTTCTTCTTCCAAGGCTCCTACCTCTTGAAGCAGGAGATATTGTATTTATATATTGCCTGGAACAATTTCCTTTGAATTTGTAGGATTGCATCAAGATGACGAGCCCTGCTCCGTGCTGCACCAGGCTTGGCTCCTGGTTGCAGACACACTGTGGGTTGTTTTGTGTTTCTTTCGGATTTTGGCATGCTGCAAAAGTTTTCATGATTTTGGCGGCCATCGGTTCTGGTCAATTATGAATTGTTGGAACCAGTTTCTTGACCTACGAAGGAGTTTTGTGCCTTGAATTCACCTGCGGTTTTGAGCCGTACTAGTCTAGAACTGGACTGACATCGGCCATGTCAGCTTGCCCTTAGAGTATGTTGGACTGTGACAGGGTGTTTTACTGGATTATTATATATATATATATAGATGCGTATAATTTTGTCTACTGCTTCGCACTGCTTGGCCACATGAAGTCTTTTTTGAAGTCTGAAAACCTCAACTCACCTTTTCGGTTAGATAAATCATCCTTTTGATTTGATCCCCCAAAGTTGGTGCACGAAGTTGGCATTTTTTAAATGATGGCACAAAAACCTAGATGAGAATGCGCACACAAACACACACCAGCTCTTTGCTGTACTTGTGGCTTCAAGGCGTTCTTGGAGTGATGGACGAAACCTGTGGTTCGCCGCAATTGGCTGGCAACTCCAGGAGCCAATTGGAGCATATTGGAGCGACATGACTCGTCTAAATGCCAACCGGGATTAGGAGCAACTACAAACGACTCCATGCAAGTTCCATTGTTCTCATTATACCAAGTTCTCAATGTACCACTGGCAGCGAAGCAAGCAACACTTCAACAACTCCCCTTCACTAAGTTTGTGAAGAAACTTACTGAAACCTCGGTACAAGGACCAACTATGCTCTCAAAAAACCCACCATTCTGAGCCCATACAGGTCTATGGGCGGAAGCGTTTGGTGCTCTTTCCGCCCGGTGCAACGCATGTGCAGCCAGAAGAGCGGCCACACTGCCTGGCGGAGCATGGACTCTGGGGCTGACGGTTTGATGAGCTGGTTGGGGTTGAAGCAAGGGTGCCTTTTATTTGCCTGCACATGTCAGGGACACATGAGCCGTTGAGGGAATGGATGAGTTCATCAAGTTGGCTTTCATTTTCCAGAATGTTTGTTTCTGTGACCTTGACAGCCTCCAATGTCCTCACTTTCCAAAGGTGCAAGTTTCATTTGAGCAGAAGCCCTCATAAACTTGTAGCTGCCATTTTGCCAAGGAACAAGATACTCCAAGCTTTCTCTGGATGAGATTGAGCGGTCTGGTGGCAAAGCTCTGGAAGTTGTTCTGGAGCCAGGCGCAGCTCTTGTCGTACATCCTACCTCGCAGACGGGTAATTTCTGAAGTGTTAGAGACTAATATGTGGGATCCCACAGACCACATAGAGATGGCCCTCCGTTCTCACTTTTCTCGTCGGCTTTGTGATAAAGACGTTGACCTTCTACCACGAAACAAATTTGCCGGCATCGCTGGTCAGAACTCTTTGGGATCGCTTTGGGGATTGCTGAGTTGTGTGAGTGAGCTTCTGCAGGGGATGCCATCTTCATCCCCAACGCCTGGTGGCACGCAGCAGAGGCGCTGAGCCCTTCGGTCTCCATCAGCGGTCGTGGAGTGACCTTCTGCGAGGGCCTCAGCTTCCTGTGCCTCGGCCGTGGTTCCATGCGTCGTGACTTTGGATGGGATGGTGTGATGGATGGGATGACATGGAAAGTAGTTTTTAGAGTGTTCGCTCCAAGTTGGGCCTGAAGCTGATTTGGTTCTTACTTTCTGTGTGGAAGGTTTGCGAATTCCTTTTTCCGGTGATTTCTGGGTCTACCACGTAGTTTGCAAACTTTGGAGATTGTATGCCCAGAGCAGAGGCACACAGACCCCTAACCAAAGTCAGTGGCCCACCTCCAAACACGATCATTTGTACATATTACTGGGTCAATCTACAGGATCAGAATGTACATGACTATTCGTCTCTAAACGCCTACTGTGCATGTATTTGGGCCATCTCAAGGCAGATACCTGAATATGAAGGGGTGACCTGTTGCACCAGATGTGTCTAAGTATATATATATAGTATAAAATAACTCTGCTGACTGCATTTCTCCGGGCGTCTTGACGTGGAAAGCAAGGCGCCAGGATTTGCAATCGAACATTAACAAAATCAAAGCATGTCGGTATCCCGAGCAGGAGCATACAACTATGGTGTACTCATTTTCAAGAGGCAAGTCTTTAGTGCGCGCTGCACAAACGGAATGTTTTTCTTTTTCCCCAGATGGCGAAGCTATGGGGTTCATACTTCAAAAAAAGAAATGAGTTGCCCGTGCGCGCTTTCGAGACAGGTTGCTGGTGCTGGGTGCCGGTGCTGGTGCTGGTGCTGTGAGCTGGCTGTGCACGTGGTGGAGACAGGTTGCTGGCGCCGGTGCTGGTGCTGGGTGCCGGGTGCCGGTGCTGCATGCTTTGGCTTCCTTCGCATGCTGCCTCTGTGCGTACGGTTCCTCGTGCGGAGGCACCCTGGTATAAAGTTGCAAAGGAGGTGTTTTTGTGTGCTAGATAGATATGTTCATTCCCATCAAATTTGCACGTACAGATAAAGGAATACACACACATATGTATGTAACGTACGTACGTATGTATGTATGGATGGATGGATGGATGTGATGTGATGTGATGTGATGTGATGTGATGTGATGTGATGTGA